TTCAGAAGATCGCCATCTTTATTTATACAGTCGCAGCAATTTATTTGAATTTTCAACATCTTGTGCTTGCCCTCCCATCCCGCCCTGTTTTTTGTTTGTATTTACTTGTTTAAATTTATCAAATGATATATGAATGTACATTCTCAAAGATCAGTGACTAGAGTCTTTGTCAGACACTGCATATATTTATACTATTGTCATTGCATATATGTATACTATTGTCATTGCATATATGTATACTATTGGCGGATGGTTTTTTCTTCCGCTCACCTTTGCTTATATTTTATAGACATTTTAATTTGTTTGAAGAAATAATTGGATTTTTTCGAAATCATGTGTTACTAAGATCAAGAATTAGTAAAAGAAGTTTTTATCCAAATTTTTCAGAATATGAATAAAAAATTGCGGCCACTTCCTAAAAAGTGAGCCAATTTTTCGCCAATCACAATTTTTTTGTGTTATTTTGTTGGAGAAATGATGAGACATTAAGCAAACAGAGCTTCACAGCATGGAGATAGTTTTCATCACTTGACAGATACATGTATAATTATATAGAAGGTATTGGGAGGTCAAGAGACAGACAGCATATGAACTTTTAAGATCGTCAGCACAATATTTAGGTTTTGCAGTAAAAGCAAAAACACAGATTTATTCTGACAATATACACGAAATATGTACAAGATTAACAATCCTTTGATAGTCAGCTCGTGGTATACTATAATGTGGTCAAGGTTCCTCCGTCCTCGGTCTTGATCGCGATCGTGAAATTGCTTTATTATATATATAATTAGGTATTTATATGTAATCTGCCAATTGAAGATCTAAGCGATGTAAAACCCAACCGCGAGAGCTTAGCATATGAGAACATTGACCACTGTGAGTGTAGTATGTAAGAACTTGTGTGTAGACATAGCATCTAAGAACCATGATTACTGAACTGGACCACAGGTTATTTGTGGTCACATGAGTGTGATTTTTCATTAATGTGGTGAGTGATAAGAAAATAAATGGTTTTAAATCACAATCAGATGTCTAATTTCAAACGTTTATATATATAGTGGCCTTAAAAACATGAGGCACCAAATCTGTAATTCGAAGGAGTAATAAAAAAAATACCCTGACCGCGCTGTCGCTCGAACTAGCGACCTCGCCCTCTCCGAGCGGACATCGTAACACTAGACTTAATGGAAACTCCCCCTATCCTTAGCTGGTAAGGAGGACTATACTCTCCTCTTTTACTTGGACACAGCATCTAACAACCTTGACTAGGCTACTGTAGGACACAGCATTTAACAACCTTGACTAGTCTACTGTAGGACACGGCATCTAACAACCTCGGCTAGGCTACTGTAGGACACGGCATTTAACAAGGGCATCTAACAACCTTGACTAGGCTACTGTAGGACAGGGCATCTAACAACCTTGACTAGGCTACTGTAGGACCCAGCATCTAACAACCTTGACTAGGCTACTGTAGAACACGGCATCTAAGAAAATTGATTAGGCTACTTTAGGACACGGTATTTAACAACCTTCGCTAGTCTACTGTAGGACACAGCATCTAACAACCTTGAGTAGGCTACTGTAGGACACAGCATCTAACAACCGTGACTAGGCTACTGTAGGACACAGCATCTAACATCCTTGACTAGGCTACTGTAGGACACAGCATCAAACAACCTTGACTAGGCTACTGTTGGACACAGCATCTAACAACCTTGACTAGGCTACCGTAGGACACAGCATCTAACAACCTTGACTAGGCTACCGTAGGACACAGCATCTAACAACCTTGACTAGGCTACCGTAGGACACAGCATCTAACAACCTTGACTAGGCCTTAGCTGGTAAGGAGGACTATACTCTCCTCTTTTACTTGGACACAGAATCAAACAACCTTGACTAGGCTACTGTAGGACACAGAATCTAACAACCTTGACTAGGCTACTGTAGGACCCAGCATCTAACAACCTTGACTAGGCTACTGTAGAACACGGCATCTAAGAAAATTGATTAGGCTACTGTAGGACACGGTATTTAACAACCTTCGCTAGTCTACTGTAGGACACAGCATCTAACAACCTTGACTAGGCCTTAGCTGGTAAGGAGGACTATACTCTCCTCTTTTACTTGGACACAGCATCTAACAACCCTGACTAGGCTACTGTAGGACACAGCATCTAACAAACTTGACTAGGCTACTGTAGGACACGGCATTTAACAAGGGCATCTAACAACCTTGACTAGGCTACTGTAGGACCCAGCATCTAACAACCTTGACTAGGCTACTGTAGAACACGGCATCTAAGAAAATTGATTAGGCTACTGTAGGACACGGCATTTAACAACCTTGACTAGGCTACTGTAGGACAGGGCATCTAACAACCTTGACTAGGCTACTGTAGAACACGGCATCTAAGAAAATTGATTAGGCTACTTTAGGACACGGTATTTAACAACCTTCGCTAGTCTACTGTAGGACACGGCATCTAACAAACTTGACTAGGCTACTGTAGGACACGGCATTTAACAACCTTCGCTAGTCTACTGTAGGACACAGCATCTAACAACCTTGACTATGCTACTGTAGGACACGGCATCTAAGAAAATTGGTTAGGCTACTGTAGGACACGGTATTTAACAACCTTCGCTAGTCTACTGTAGGACACAGCATCTAACAACCTTGAGTAGGCTACTGTAGGACACAGCATCTAACAACATTGACTAGGCTACTGTAGGACACAGCATCTAACATCCTTGACTAGGCTACTGTAGGACAGGGCATCTAACAACCTTGACTAGGCTACTGTAGAACACGGCATCTAAGAAAATTGATTAGGCTACTTTAGGACACGGTATTTAACAACCTTCGCTAGTCTACTGTAGGACACGGCATCTAACAAACTTGACTAGGCTACTGTAGGACACGGCATTTAACAAGGGCATCTAACAACCTTGACTAGGCTACTGTAGGACCCAGCATCTAACAACCTTGACTAGGCTACTGTAGGACAAAGCATCTAACAACCTTGACTAGGCTACTGTAGAACACGGCATCTAAGAAAATTGATTAGGCTACTTTAGGACACGGTATTTAACAACCTTCGCTAGTCTACTGTAGGACACAGCATCTAACAACCTTGACTAGGCTACCGTAGGACACAGCATCTAACAACCTTGACTAGGCTACCGTAGGACACAGCATCTAACAACCTTGACTAGGCTACCGTAGGACACAGCATCTAACAACCTTGACTAGGCCTTAGCTGGTAAGGAGGACTATACTCTCCTCTTTTACTTGGACACAGCATCTAACAACCTTGACTAGGCTACTGTAGGACACGGCATCTAAGAAAATTGATTAGGCTACTGTAGGACACGGTATTTAACAACCTTCGCTAGTCTACTGTAGGACACGGCATCTAACAACCTTGACTAGGCTACTGTAGGACACGGCATTTAACAACCTTCACTAGGCTACTGTAGGACACGGCATTTAACAACTTTGACTAGGCTACTGTAGGACACGGCATCTAACAACCTTGACTAGGCTACTGTAGGACACGGCATTTAACAACCTTCACTAGACTACTGTAGGACACAGCATCTTAGAACCATGACTACTATGTAGACACAGCATCTAAGAACCTTGACTACAGTGTAGACACAGTATCTTTGAACCATGAGTTTTGACAACTGTAGACACAGCATCTAAAAATCTTAACGACTGTGTAGACACAGCATCTAATAACCTTGACTACTGTGTAGACACAGAATCTATTAACCTTGACTACTGTATAGACACAGCATCTAAGAACATTGACTTCTGTGTAGACACAGCATCTATTACCCTTGACTACTGTGTAGACACAGCATCTCAGACCCTTGACTTTTATGTAGACACAGCATCTAAGAACCTTGACTACTGTATAGACACAGTATCTAAGAACCTTGACTACTGTGTTGACACAGCATCTAAGAACCTTGACGACTGTGTAGACACAGCATCTAATAACCTTGACTACTGTGTAGACACAGCATCTAAGAACATTGACTACTGTGTAGACACAGCATCTATTAACATTGACTTCTGTGTAGACACAGCATCTATGAACCGTGGCTACTGTGTTGACACCGCAACTCACGACCTCTACTACTGTCTGGACACAGCATCTAAGACCCTTGACTACTGTGTAGACACAGCATCTAAGAACCTTGATTACTGTGTAGACACATCATCTAAGAACCTTGACCACTCTGTAGACACAGCAACTAAGAACATTGACTACTGTGTAAACACATCATCTAAGAACCTTGACTAATGTGGGGACACAGCATCTAAGGACCTTGACAACTGTGTGGACACAGCATCTTAGAACCTTGACTACTCTGGGGACTGAGGATCTTAGAACCTTGAATACTTTGTAGACACAGCATCTAATAACCTTGACTACTGTGTAGACACAGCATCTAAGAACCTTGACTACTGTATAGATACAGTATCTAACAACCTTGACTACTGTGTAGACACAGCATCTATCAACCTTGACTACTGTGTAGACACAGCATCTATTAACCTTGACTACTGTATAGACACAGCATCTAAGAACATTGACAACTGTGTAGACACAGCATATATTAACATTGACTTCTGTGTAGACACAGCATCTATGAACCGTGGCTACTGTGTAGACACCGCAACTCACAACCTCTACTACTGTCTGGACACAGCATCTAAGAACCTTGACTACTGTGTAAACACATCATCTAAGATCCTTGACTAACGTGGGGACACAGCATCTAAGGACCTTGACAACTGTGTGGACACAGCATCTTAGAACCTTGACTACTCTGGGGACTGAGGATCTTAGAACCTTGACTACTGTGTAGACACAGCATCTAAGAACCTTGATTACTGTGTAGACACAGCATCTAAGAACCTTGACCACTCTGTAGACACAGCAACTAAGAACATTGACTACTGTGTAAACACATCATCTAAGATCCTTGACTAATGTGGGGACACAGCATCTAAGGACCTTGACAACTGTGTGGACACAGCATCTTAGAACCTTGACTACTCTGGGGACTGAGGATCTTAGAACCTTGACTACTGTGTAGACACAGCATCTAAGAATCTGGACTACTGTGTAGACACAGCATCATAAGACATTGACAACTGTATGGACACAGCATCTAAGAATCTGGACTACTGTGTAGACACAGCATCTAAGAACCTTGACTACTGTGTAGACACAGCATCTAAGAATCCTGACTACTGTGCAGACACAGCATCTAAGAATCTTGACTACTGTGTGGACACAGCATCTAAGAATCTTGACTACTGTGTAGACACAGCATCTAAAAACCTTGACTACTGTGTTGACACAGCATCTTAGAACCTTGACCACTGTACATGTGTAGACAAAGCATTAAGACCTTGACTACTGTGTAGACACAGCATCTAAGAACCTTGACTACTGTGAAGACACAGCATCAAAGAACCTTGACTACTGTGTGGACACAGCATCTAAGAACCTTGACTACTGTGTTGACACAGCATCTAAGAACCTTGACTACTGTGTAGACACAGTTTCTAAGAACCTTGAATACGGTTAATATAATTAGAATTTCAATCAAATCACCTTGCACTTGAAGTTCTTTCATTTTTGGAACATTTTAGGTGGAACGGTTAAGAAAACCTTTGCGAAATTGGAGAAATGTGTAAGTGTAATTATTTAGTTTATGTTTATTGTTTAGGGGAGATGGGAATATGCCCTTGGTATGTGTGAACCGAATAACCTTGTCACACTACTGATTTAATCTGTGATCCAATTGTCCTGAAACTTATTAATCACACTCATCACCATTATCTGTTTTAGGTCTCCGTTCTGAACAGTCTGTGGTCAAAATAAAGGTCGCTGTTACTCTTAATGAATTGTGTTAACCTTGTGCTGAAAAAATCGTTTATTATATTTCATCTGGCATCGCTTGTGTGTGTTTTTTAGTTTCAAACCCATCGGCTGACTTTAAGTAGAATTTTGAAAACCCCACTTTATCACCTTAATTATTTGTCCAATTGTTATGAATGTATGTGCATAATCTCACAACTCTCAGCTCTTGTTCATGTTCACATCTCTTTCACATTGGTTTAAATTGAGTTAACTTTATATTATGAAATATTGCAAGTACTAGCCTAACAGTTTTAGTATATGATTGTCATGAAACTTCTCCATTTGTATACGCCCGTTTTATTAGTCCCGAGATGTCTACCTACATTTTTCACGTAGTTTCATTGAATGCTTTATCATCATGATATCTAGTTGTGTTTCCCTGAACGCCACTTTGATTCAACTATTTTTTCCAAGGTTATTACCCTTTGTGTTTTTGCAGTGTTTGATTTTTTTGACCAGAGATATCCTCCTGCAATTTTCAACAAATATTTTTGAAGCTTAGTAGTCTTTATACTCATAATATGTAAGTCGTGTTTTCGTGTAAGGCATTTTGATTCAACTAATTTTTCAAAAGTTATTGCCCTCACATGTTTTTATCTGTAGATCCTCACCCTCATGCAGTTTTCAAAAAACTTTGTAGGCTCTAATTTGCCATGACATGACATTGTACTTTCACAATGGAATTTTGATTAGACAATGAATCTTGCATTTCAATATTTGTATTCACTTGATAGGATAATGTTTTTCTTTTTGACATGGGATGAGCGTATATTGTTACAACTCTGTGTTAGTTCAGGTATTGATCTTCTGGAGTCAAAGATAAGCTCACTGTTACAGTGGTACTGTAAATAGACATTCCAATATTTGTTATATCGACTGCCAGTTTTTTACCCATTAACAGGCATCACATTTTGTATGAGTTTCTAGTTCCTGTGTCGACATTGTTCAATAAGAAAATGAGGTCTCTGTTTCTGTTATATACATTTCAATGTTGAAAAATGTCCCCTTAGTATCAAACTACAGTCGAACCTCGTTATGTCAAAGTCAGTGGGGCTATGAAACATCTTCAAGATTTCCCGAGTATTCGAGGTAACTGAAAATATTTTATATAAAATTTTGCACTAGGGACTGAACTTTTACTGCGAGTTAATTAAAGCGGGACTTCGAGTTATCAAAGTTCGAGATAACGAAGTTTGACTGTATAAGAAGAATGGATTATTGTTGGATATAATGGATTGATATCATTAACATGTTTCCATAACTGATTAGTTACTGGAACAGGGGGATTGGTAACAATTGAGGTGCCTTGTTTAATGCCATCAAGTAGGAGAGTCAACACTGCTACTTTGAATATATACATATACATATTGTTTGTCTGGATACCACTCTTTATCCGGGTCAATTGAAGAAAGGGGAAAACCTAACAGTTTCTATATAATAAATAACAACAGACTCAGGATCAGTTTCATTTTCTTATTCTAGGAAATGTCTACCAGTTTATCCCAAACAGTAGGCTTTGTCAGTCCTGAGATAGAACTCAGTAATTATAAACGTTTCCTTATAAAAAAAGATCAATGCATGTGAAGTCTGTCATCATATTGATTCCTACTTGTAGATGTATTTTAAATTGTTATTTTCTCATTCCATGAAGAGCTTTGAAACTGATTTTGTAGGTAAACAAGTTGGTTGCCAAAAATGAGAAGATTTTGTACTACATATGGTACAACCAGAAGGAAAAGTGTGTTGATTTTAGAGGTACGTAATATGAGACGGACATTATGTAACAATAAAAATATTTTGAAATATCAACTTATGAAGTCTTGAAATACAAGATAAGTTACCTTTCAGAGGAAACCTTATGAAATAATGGAGGCTATGCTGGGATTACACTGGCTGGCTGTGTTGAGTACACAGAAAATGAAGTGGTCAGCTGCTGTTAGGGTTAGGGTTTATTTAAACAAGAGATGATATGCATGAGCAGAACAGAACATGATGCTGTTGATTACACTGTAATATAATTTTATATTAAATGATCATGATATCATCATGCAGTTGTGTTTGTCACTTTGTTTCCACATATTATAAGCATGGTTACATAAAGGGTAATGCATGTTTGATATAAAATGTTATGGACATTGAACTCTTTAGAAAGGTATTATGACAATTGCAACAAATTCATTTATGCATGATATTCATACATAGTTATTAATGCATCTCACTTGCCATGGTTACCGAAATTGATAAAAAGAAAGCATTTGCCATGTGTGTAGCTTGTGAATGCAGCCCACCTGTCTTCGCTTTAGATGTTTTAATGTTAATTTGAATACATATTTTCGGTTTTATTTAGTGATAAAGGAATTTTATCTTTGAAAAGATTTCAATAGGCCGGTCTTCAATCTTTTGAATGAGGTAGCAAAGGAAAATTTAAGAATATGGTATATGTATTTTCACAGGGTCTCCTGATATGAAGGAGTTCGCGCTGGAGACAGCCAGAACGTTCCTGGGATTAATAGGCAGTGGAGAACAAGCTGAACAGCAAGCAGTTGTTCCTGTAGGTGGGTATTGTGTTTTATTGAAAATCATGTCAATGGTCAGGATTCTCAGTCAAGCATGTGAATGGCTTCTTTTTTAAACATGCCATCCTTCCTTTAATTGTCATGTTGTTGTCCAATACATCACACTTATAATTTCCCTTCTCCATCTGTCTATATGTTTGCTATGGTTTCCAGTAACATATTATCCATCATTGATGTTGTTAATATTCACTATAGATATTACGGAAGTTTCATTAAGAAAATACCAAAGGTCATAAATATTTCAGTATTGAAGACTGGATATTTTTCTTACAAAAGAATACTTAAACGTTCCCCACTGTAAACCAAAGGACATCAATGAAAATAAGTAACATTAATTATTTCATGTTGTTCTGTTTCTAAGGGTAGTGTACATCACTCCCTCACAATCATGTTGTTCTGTTGCTAAGGGTAGTGGACATTACTCCCTCACAATCATGTTGTTCTGTTGCTAAGGGTAGTGGACATCCCTCCCTCACAATCATGTGTGTTCTGTTGCCAAGGGGAGTGGACATCACTCCCTCACAATCATGTATGTTCTGTTGCTAAGGGTAGTGGACCTCACTCCCTCACAATCATGTTGTTCTGTTGATAAGGGTTGTGGACATCACACCCTCTCAATTATGTTGTTCTGTTGCTAAGGGAAGTGGACATCACTCCCTCACAATCATGTTGTTCTGTTGCTAAGGGTAGTGGACATCACTCCCTCACAATCATGTGTGTTCTGTTGCTAAGGGTAGTGGACATCACTTCCTCCGATCATGTTGTTCTGTTGCTAAGGGGAGTTGACATCACTCCCTCACAATCATGTTGTTCTGTTGCTAAGGGTAGTGAGCATCACTCCCTCACAATCATGTATGTTTTGTTGCTAAGGATAGTGGACATCACTCCGTCACAATCATGTTGTTCCGTTGCTAAGGGTAGTGGACATCACTCCCTCACAATCATGTTGTTCTGTTGCTAAGGGGAGTGGACATCACTCCCTCACAATCATGTTGTTATATTGCTTAGGGTAGTAGACATCACTCCGTCACAATCATGTTGTTCTGTTGCTAAAGGTAGTGGACATCACTCCCTCACAATCATGTATGTTCCTAAAAAGTATTACAAAGAAATTAAGTTAATGTAGTTTAAGTGATAATTAGAAATGAATAGTTTCCCTTGTGGCCATCTGTCGCCTTTCTCATTAATTTATGTTGAATTTTTACTCTTTTTTTTAGGTCTGCCAACTTTGCAACCTCAGGAAATATATTTACC